GCAGATTTTCTCTGCAAGGTGTAAAACTATTTACAAAAATCGATCTGAGAAAAGCATTTTATCAGATTCCTGTTGCCGAGGAAGATGTGCACAAGACTGCTATAACGACACCCTTTGGTCTTTACGAATTCTTACGAATGCCTTTCGGTCTCCGAAACGCTGCACAATCTTTCCAGAGGTTAATCGATGAAGCACTTCGAGGTTTACAACACTCATTCGCCTACATCGATGATCTACTAATAGCAAGTGCCAACATGGACCACCACGTGCGTCACGTAACACAAGTTTTCGAACGTTTAGAGCATTTTGGATTGAAAATAAATCCACAAGTGTTTATTTGGCGTTTTCGAAACAACTTTTCCTCGGATATGTAATTGACGAGTCAGGAATCACGCCGATCCCCTGAAAAAGGTTACTGCAGTGAAAGAATTCCCACAACCAACAACCCTTCGTCAACTCCGTCGATATCTTGGACTGATAAATTATTACCGCCAGTTCATCCCGAAACTGTTCGCACCACTAACCGACCTACTCCGTGGTCAAGGGAAGAAGAACATCCCCATAACGCTCACAGACGAAGCCCTCGTTGCTTTTAACAGTTCTCGCGAAGCTCTAGCAAACTTTACAAAGTTAACATATTTGCGCGATGACAACAAAGCAACTTTGTCGTTAACTACAGATGTGTCATCAGAAGCTATTGGAGCGGTTTTGCATCAGCATACCGATAAGCAAACCACGCCAATTTCTTTCTTTTCTGTTAAGCTTACTTCAACACAGAAGAAGTATAGCACCTTCTCCCGTGAACTATTAGCTATATATCTCTCTATTAGACACTTTCGACACATACTGGAGGGACGAAACTTCACAGTTTTCACTGACCACAAACCCCTAGTTTTCGCCCTCCATACTAAATCAGACAAATACAATCCACGTGATTATAGGCAACTAGATTTCATATCGCAATTCACCACTGACATACGGCATGTAGCAGGCAATGACAACGTTGTCGCCGACACGCTATCACGAGCTACATTAAATAGTACCATTGAAGACAAGCTGGACATGGAAAAATTAGCAGACACACAAGTAAGGGACATCACTCTGTTCAACTCGTTACAAGACACGTCGCTAAAAATAGAACAGAAACCTTTACCCTTCAGTGAAAAGTCTATCACTTGCGACACAAGTACTTCCACTCCCAGACCCTTGGTATCAGTCAGCATGAGGAGGAAAATATTCAACCATTTTCACTCAATTTCACATCCTGGTCGCAAAGCCACATCGAAAATGATTTCTGAACACTTTGTATGGCTCAACATGAACAGCGATATTAAAAGCTGGACTCAGTGCTGTGAAATATGTCAACGTAAAACCCATCGTGATACCAAGTCACCGCCTGGTAATTTCCCTACGCCAGACGGACGATTTTGTCACCTACACGTCGACTTGGTGGGTCCGTTGTCGGAAGTCCACGGACGCCAGTATATTTTAACCATAATCGACATTGTAGTGCCACGCCTACATTTTCTCCAATTCTAATTGGTCAATAAATACATACTAAAAAATAACAGGACAATTTATCTATCGCATTCCACCATAGTAAATTTGTTCCTACACTTTGTTCAAAAACATGCTTTGCTACAAAATCGCTGATTGGTCCATTTTTCGTCCAATCGGATATTTTTCATGTATATTCAAAAATATATCCAGCGTCTCTGCTGGGAGCCACCCCAGGTAGTATAAATATTGGATGCATTCCAAAAAACCAGTAGTAGTAGTTCCAGAACCACAGTCGAGTGTACCCAGAGACAATAGATCTCATCTACTCGCGTGTGTTTTTCATCCTTCTCACCCCGCACGTACATACATACAATACAGAACTTTATTTGATACACCACCAGTTCTCAGTGGATACACCAAGTTAAATCAACTCTGTAAGTTGCAACAACTGAACAATTTTCTGAAAGAAATATTCAATTTTCAACACTGAACTCTGAACATTTTACTCAGACAAATCTTCTTTCAGACATTTCCTTACAGTCAAGGGGAAGCTACTTTTTCCCTCCCTTTTTCACTCATATTACAACTACTTTGTATTATTGTTGAATTTAATATACATATATTTCTTCGTTAAACAAAATTGGTTCTCATTGTTTTTTCCTTGATGTTTTAAATATTATATATGAATGTTTATTACCTTCTCAACACGCAGCCACATTATCTATTTAACCCATTCAACATTGGTGACCACAACACTCAAGAAGTAATACATTCTACAATTAGTCAACCCGACGTTCTAATCAACATTCTACAATTGGTCAACCCGACGTTCTAATCAACATTCTACAATTGGTCAACCCGACGTTCTAATCAACATTCTACACCGGTGTTTACAGCTATTTTCTAAAGCATTGTAGCTTGTGTTTTGGTTTTGTTTTTTTTTGTTTTTTAACTGATAGAAAAGAAATAACTTTAGACGACATTCAAGAACGATTTTTTTCAAAGAGATCCAAAAAGTTTGTCCCAAAACATGCCGTACTTATGTAAAAATATTTCTACAAAAAACTATTTCTGACTTCAATCCTTTGGCTTGTCGTGACTTGAAGCGAATCTACATGTGCTATTGTTCACCCAAGGCCTAAGAGCCACTCAAGGTAGAGAGTTATTAAATGGGGAAATAAGAAGTGTATATTATGAGGATGAGTAGAATAGATGAAAAGGTTAAGATCATAGTCTTCGAGGAATTATCATTTTGGGAATCTCTTCCACAACGTGACAGTTCTGTGTAAACGGTTTTGAACTCTGTCAAGACTGGAAAGTGATGATAAGGTAGCTTCAGCCTAAATATGGAAGCAATACTCCATAGATTGAAACAAAATATCTTTCTTAGATTTATTGACCTATCAGAACGCTTTATTTCGACTCTCAAAAAACAGCTTACTCATCCTACTAACTTCCATATAAGGAAGGATATCAACCAGTTTAATAAGGGTCATGTTCGTTCGTCACTCCGACGCCGTTACATACATACGCACTTATGCATTCTGTCACCGAACATACTGTCCAGTCACCTGTTCAACACTGCAACCGACCCACGTACACACACATAAAGTCACAGCGTTCGTGCGACTTCCTTTCTCCAACGACTGACTATAACTTGTTTTCCACTCAGTATTTAATATTTCACGACGTCTTTTAAACAAAATGATTCTTACTCAATGTGAAATTGATCAGAAAGAATGTGTATTTAGAATAAATTTATACGAAAAGAAGAATGTGAAGGCTTGATCAAGATATTCTTTTGAGTGCTTAATAGAAATTAAGCTAGTTACAAAAATAGTCATAGGTCGATTTTCGTCAGACCGATTCCAAGTCCAATAGCTTAAAATCGATTAACTTTGAAAGGCTGGAATTTACGTGTTTTACGTGAGGAGCCCATACGCATACGTATTCATATGGGCCAGGAAGAAAATTTGTCCCGTCCCCGCGACCACTGACGCGCTGGTTTTGATATTACACCGATCCCTTCCACTGAGGAACATGCTACTGCAGAGTTGGAATCCCCTGAACCGGGCGCCATCTTCTATCTAAAATGAAAACAGTTCCGGACAATAGTGAATACTTGTACCAGGAACCAGCTTGTGGGTATTCGACTTCGTTGAGCTTGTCGTATATTCTCGAAACTCCATATATTATTAAAAAAAAAAAACAATCAGAAGAAAAAACTTAATCATTAAGGAATTCAGGATTTTTCTTCCCGGAATCGATCCTTCAGACCTACAAATCAACAATTCGCTCTTGCATGAATTATTGCTGCCATATATGATCTGGAGCCCCTTCTGTTTGTCTCAAGGTCATTGATAAAATAATCCCTCACTTTGTGGCCATGGTAGTCTCTATACATTTATATCACAGAGAATGTAAATAAATCTAAAATACACACCTGTCTAGCTAATCAGTATTTGATTGATTCATTTTCTATGGTTTACAGGTTATTTAAAGCCAGAAAATATTTTAGATTGTAAGAATAATGTTTTTATAATAATGCTTTAGTGATACAAGTCTTACCAAATAACTTGTTGCGGGGCCGATAAGGATGTCGCCCCCGCAAGCTTTATGAAGAAACGTGTGAACGGCTAAGACAATGAGGGGACAAAGGCAAAGTTTTGTGAAACAATAACGTCGATTTTATTTATGCCAATTGTACAAGAGTGTACTCTGGAGAAATGTGTTCAAATCGGTGTCGGGTCCGGTATGACTGGTTTTTGTTTAGGGGTAGCTGCTTTCGGTCGTATCGGTGAAACGAATATAGAATTGATCGGCGACGGTAGCTGGTCGACTGCCGAATGGGAGAATAGTCTGGAACAGCAGCAGGTTGATCGATGTCCCTAAACAGGGCCAAGTCAAAACAGTGATACAGAATTCACAGAGCGGATCGACCGCGGAAACGGGATCGCGCCAAAGTGTAACACTTGGCGAAGCTGGTCAGAGAGGTGATACGTCTTCCAGGGCGGATCGACCGCGGAGACGGGATCGCGCCGAAGAGTAACACTCTCGACAAAGCACCGGAAGCTCACAAAGGCAGCGTACTATACTTTGATCCAGGCCCCCAGGCCGAGCAGCTCCATTTGGACGAAAAAAGAGGCTAACAATATTTGGAGCGATTTATTCAAGTACTCCCTGGCTAGAGGGAGTAGAAAACCGTAGATATTAAATTAATATCAATGGTTGTCCGATGTTTGAAAGAGCGCTGCATAATCCGATGCTCACGAGGTACAGTTTGGCATCATCGATATTGGACTAGTCATCCGGTTTCTCGCATGTTGCTTGACTTAAATCTGCGAGATCAGGGGTTGTGAAGGTCAAGGTCGTCTTTCTAAGGAGCGGCTAATGGCGGCCGCGACAAGCCCCTTCCCCGAGAAAATTGATCATATCAATTAATAATAATAATATTTACGAAGGTCTTTAGGGAAAGTGACCCTCCTACCGGATCTGGCTTGCTACACACGAGTCGCTGGGGTGTCGTCTGATGTCTGCGGCGCTGCGTGTGTCGGGTGCCCTGGAATAGCATTAGGGGGCGCAGAGCCGGGTTTGCGTCGTACCGTCGCTTCTCCAGAAAAGCAGGCTTGGTCCGATCGATCGCGACGGTGTCGGTCGAGTTGGCGCGCGTGATCGTAAGGTGCTTGTCGGTGCGCCGAAGAACCTGAAAAGGACCTTGGTATGCCGGCGTGAGGGGTCGTCTCACGGCGTCGTTCCGTACGAAGACGAATTTGCAATCCCGCAAGTGTTGAGGGATGTACGAATTCATCGGTTGCTGTCGCGGAGTTGCATATTTAAGCCGGGCCATTTTGTGGCGGAGTTCCTCGACGAAAGGAGTTGTTGGTTTTGAAAATGTCTGAAGGGAGTCGTTGAAATATTCGCCGGGCAGCGCAAGAGGTGTACCGAAAACCAGTTCAGCGAGTGGACAACCCAAGTCCTCCTTTATGGTATTCCTCAATGCTAGGAGAATCAAAGGTAGGTCGTCAACCCAATTGATAGTGTCAGGTCTAGTGGCTAGGGAGGTTTTAAGGGACCGATGAAACCTCTCGACTAAACCGTTGGTGCACGGATGATAAGCGGTCGTTTTTATGTGCTTGGCACCAAGTAGGTTGGTAAACTCCCGAAAAAGGAACGACTGGAATTGTGACCCCCCCTGTCAGTCGTGATGACTTGGGGCGTGCCGAAAGTTACAATCCACTCTTTCAGGATGGTCCTGGAGACGGTGCTTGCAGAAGTGTCTTTTATAGGTATGGCGGTCGGCCACCGCGAAAAACGATCCACAACCGTCAAAAGATACTGGTAATCCCGACACATCGGCAGCGGTCCCACTAAGTCGACATGCATGTGTGAGAACCGTGCATCGGGACTGCTGAAGGTGCCAACGGGGGATTTAGTGTGTCGGAGGATCTTACACTACTGGCATTTCATGCACGTGGAAACCCATTCTCGAATGTCCGCATTCATATTAGGCCAAACGAATCGGTCGGTAATAAGTTTGACTGTAGCTCTCTTACTCGGATGAGACAGCCCGTGGAAATGTTGGAATACCTGTCTCCGAAGTGTCGGTGGGATGTAGGGCCTAGGGCTTGCTAGGCTGGTGTCACAGTACAGGGTGTCATCGCTGAAGGATGCAGGGAACTCCCGAAGCTTTAAAGAAGTATTTGAAAGGACGTCTTGCAGCGTGGGGTCGGATTTTTGTTCAGCGGCTATGGAATCTTGACCCAAAACGCCGGTCTGAAGAGATTGAATTTCCGCTCGCGATAATGTGTCTGCGACGGCGTTGTCCTTCCCCTTTATGTGACGAATATCGGTCGAGAACTGTGACAGGTAGTCGAGATGCCGGATCTCACGAGCTGTATATTTGTCAGAGTTGTTACTCATCGCGGTCGTCAACGGTTTATGGTCGGTATAGATAGTAAAATCTCGACCTTCCAGTAAGTGCCTGAAATGTCTGACGGCCAGATAAATGGCCAGCAGCTCTCGGGAGAAGGTGCTGTATTTTCTCTGGGCTGGCGAAAGCTTGGCCGAAAAGAATGCGATGGGTTCACGTTGTAAATTGAATTCTTGCTCAACTACCGCGCCCACTCCATCGTCCGACGCGTCGGTTGTCAGGAATAGTCGCGTCTTTGGATCGTCGTTAATATGCGAGAGCCTAGTATAATTTGCCAATGCAGCCTTCGCTGTATGGAATGCGTGCAGAGCATCTCCCTCCAACGCGATATCCTTATTCCTTCTCTGCAGCAGGTTCGACAGTGGCTGGAGGATGGTAGCGCAATTCGGGATGAACCGACGATAAAAGTTGAGCATACCGAGGAAACGTCGCAATTGTTTCATGGACATCGGTGTAGGAAAATACCGGATCGAGCTGATCTTGTCTGAAAGAGGTGCTATGCCGTTTGCGTCGGTGCGGTGCCCGAGAAAATCAACGCTGGGCGCCCCGAAAACGCACTTGTCCAGGTTCAACTTCAGGCCGTAGTGCGAGAGTCGCTGGAAGACTTCTCGCAGGTGTTGCCTGTGAGAATCGGCGTCTTTACTGGCCACCAATATGTCGTCGATGTAAGCGTATACGTGCGGTAGTCCGCGCAGGACTTCGTCTATGAGACGTTGGAAGGTCTGGGCAGCGTTACGTAGACCGAACGGCATTTTTAGAAACTCATATAGGCCAAACGGTGTTGTGACTGCCGTCATATGGACGTCTTCCGCAGCCACGGGGATCTGATGGTATGCCTTTGTCAGGTCGATTTTTGAAAAGATGCGAGCGCCCTCCAGTCCGGACGCAAAATCATGGATATGAGGAACAGGGTAGCGGTCTGGTACGGTTGATGCATTCAATTTTCGGTAGTCGACGCATATCCGAAATTCTTTACCACCAGGTTTAGGCACTAAGTGTAGTGGCGAGGCGTAAAGGCTATCGGAAGGACGAATGATGCCATCACTCAGCATTTTGTGGAATTGTTCCTTGGCGTACGCCAGTTTGTGCGGAGCGAGTCGTCGCGGATGGGAGTGTGCGGGAGGACCTCTAGTTCTGATATGGTGCTGAGTCTGATGGTCACCTGAAGCCGTTACTTGGAGTGGCAGTGTTATATCCGTGAACTGTGTCAGGAGATCTAAGTACTCGCGACCATGGCATGTTGCGACGCTGATTACCTAAGACACGGAGATTCGTAGTCGTATCGGGCAGGGTCCCAGGGTTCATATGGACCGCCAGTGCGTAATGCGCCAGGAAATCCGCGCCGAGGATGGGTACCTTCACGTTGGCCACGGTGAATGTCCAAGTGAAATCACGTCGCATGCCGATATTCAGAGTAAGGGTCCTTTCTCCGTGCGTGTCTATCGTGGAACCATTCGCAGCTCGTAGTTTGACCAGGGTGGGCTTAGCGGCGTGGTCGTTCTGATAGGGTACCACGCTGATGGCCGCACCTGAGTCTACTAGAAATTTCAGTTTGTTCCGGCGATCCCAAACGTAGAATAGACGACATTGCGTGTTGGCACACGATGAGTTAGTCGTCGCCACTCTCCGGTTTATTCGTTTCCCCGGGCCGACGGGTGTGTACAAGGAGGTTTACAATTCCTGGCTCCATCGCCAAATGTGCGATGAAACCAACAAACACCCTGGTCGCTTTGCCGTTCTCGGCTGGGGGTTCGTCTCTGTCGAGATGGGGTCGATTTCCTTGTCCGTGGGCGCAGGGACATCTGGATCTCTCGAATTTGTCGTTGAAGGTCGGCCAACGCCCGTTCTGTCTTACTCGGCTCGTAGCGTTCGTGCTTTGCTATGTCGGGGGTGTGAACTGCGTTAACGCTGTGGTCAAACTGCGCAAAAACTAGGTCAGCAGATTCTGCCAAATCATCCAGAGGCGTGGCTCTCGTCATTGGTGCAATAATTTGAGCGACTGATTTGGGCAAATGCTCCATCCATAAACCTCGAAGAACCTTTTCTGACACATTGTGCTTTCCCAACTGGTTCCTCATATACCTGAGAAGCTGGGATGGCGTCTTGTCACCTCTGGTGACGTTCCGTTGAATTTCCTGAATCATGTCTTCCTCGGAACGCCCGGTACGCTTGAGGATCGCTTCCTTTAAGTGATCGTATGGTTCATGTTCACGCAAATCGGAGAGGACGTCAGAAATTTCATCCATCATATCGGATGGGAGTTTCTGCATTACGTTCGCGAATCTGGCTCGCTGTGAAGTGATGCGTAACATGGAAGAGATAGATTCTACCTGCAAGAACCAGTTCTTGGCATTATGGTGGTATGCAGGCAGAGGTATGATCGCGGCCGTCATGTCTAAAGAATCACTTTTGGCCGACTCCATCATCGCTTAGCTGCCTCACGTCGGGAAGTCACCACTTGTTGCGGGGCCGATAAGGATGTCGCCCCCGCATGCTTTATGAAGAAACGTGTGAACGGCTAAGACAATGAGGGGACAAAGGCAAAGTTTTGTGAAACAATAACGTCGATTTTATTTATGCCAATTGTACAAGAGTGTACTCTGGAGAAATGTGTTCAAATCGGTGTCGGGTCCGGTATGACTGGTTTTTGTTTAGGGGTAGCTGCTTTCGGTCGTATCGGTGAAACGAATATAGAATTGATCGGCGACGGTAGCTGGTCGACTGCCGGATGGGAGAATAGTCTGGAACAGCAGCAGGTTGATCGATGTCCCTAAACAGGGCCAAGTCAGAACAGTGATACAGACTTCACAGAGCGGATCGACAGCGGAAACGGGATCGCGCCAAAGTGTAACACTTGGCGAAGCTGGTCAGAGAGGTGATACGTCTTCCAGGGCGGATCGACCGCGGAGACGGGATCGCGCCGAAGAGTAACACTCTCGACAAAGCACCGGAAGCTCACAAAGGCAGCGTACTATACTTTGATCCAGGCCCCCAGGCCGAGCAGCTCCATTTGGACGAAAAAAGAGGCTAACAATATTTGGAGCGATTTATTCAAGTACTCCCTGGCTAGAGGGAGTAGAAAACAGTAGATATTAAATTAATATCAATGGTTGTCCGATATTTGAAAAAGCGCTGCATAATCCGATGCTCACGAGGTACAGTTTGGCATCAACGATATTGGACTAGTCATCCGGTTTCTCGCACGTTGCATGACTTAAATCTGCGAGATCAGGGGTTGTGAAGGTCAAGGTCGTCTTTCTAAGGAGCGGCTAATGGCGGCCGCGATAAACTCATAGTTGGGGGAGAAAAGGTGGGGTCGTACCTTACTAGAATTTGATAAACAAACAAGAATTTGTAATGTGAATATAAAGTGGAGGATCAATTATATATTAAAATCAATATATAAAATAATCTCTCACTTTGACGACACATGGCACAGGGGATAAAGGCGTTGGTTAGATCCAGTGACAGCACCTAAAGAGTGTGAGTTCAATACCCAGTTAAGGCAGTGGAGAATTTAGAGAGAGGAATTAACAGGAGATAACTGATAAATGACATCCATTAAACATGGTGCGTGGAACTAGAACAATCTACCCCAGTGAGCGAAATAAAAGGTTCAGTTCGGCATTCCAACCACGTGAAGAAGGCCGGAACGTACAACGACCGAAACGATGTAATAAATATGGCGACCAAGATGAGGACAATAGTCGGAATAATGTAAATAGTGTACATAATACATCATCTCAGAAATACAGACAGATACTGAAAGGCCGCAACGTTGTAATAAATATGGCGACCAAGATGAGGACAATAGTCCGAATAATGTAAATAGTGAAAACCGTGAAATTTTCACGGGTTAAAACCACGCGCGATGTTTATTTTAAATACAGCTGTACTTTTTGACTACAATAGATGGATATATAGTTTCTCAACGGGCGTAGCCAGTGCCAGCAGTACATCCGTTAATTTTACATTTCATGTATGATGCGACCCCCTTAAAATTAGCTTCAAAATTAGGATTTCAAAAGTTGCTTGATACGTGAGTCTACACGGTAATTATTATTATTATTGAATATATGATAAAATCTCTTAGGAAGAGAAAATCCCTCTGGCCCGAGGTGAGCAAATAAATCAGTTTTGAAACAAGAGTGAAACCTTCAATTTTTAGATAATTCTTAAAAATCCAGAGGGTATCCCAAACATTCTGGGCTATAGTGTACATTAATGACACTGGCATGTTTTAATAAGAATCAGATAACATATTTTATGAATTTTTGAAAAAAAAAAGAGACTGTTGGAAAATCAATAACCTACAGGTTATTGATTTTCCAACAGCCTCTTTGATAATTTTATCAAACAACAAATGATTTCATGACAGCCTATCGTTAATTTTCGAATGAAAGCAACTAGGACATTTATATTGATGAATCCGGTTCCTTTTAAGCCAATGTTCAACCAGAAAACATTGAATAGCAACGAAATTACATCATTGCTGGTTAATCAGCGGAAGATATAGTTTACTTTTATGATGCCTGATTATAGCAAAATCTTCAAGCCTGTAAATGGTTCGATGGTTAAATTGTCGCCTAAATGAGGCCAAAATGAAAATAACGCTGACGTCTCATTTTAACAGATTTACAGGGTGCGATGGATAAATTGTCGTTTAAATGACACCAAAATGAAAGTAACACTGGCGTCTCATTTTAACAGATATAAAGGGTGCAATGGATAAATTGTCGTCTAATTGACGCCAAAATGAAAATAACACTCTCATTTATAACAAAATCTTCAAACGTGTAAATGTAGGGTGCGATGGTTAAATTGTCGCCTAAATGAAGCAAAAATGAAAATAACACTGACATCTCATTTTAGCAGATATACAGAGTGCGCTGGATAAATTGTCGTCTAATTGACGCCAAAATAACATCGACGCCCAAATAACGATGACGTTACATTTTAACAGATTTACAGGATGCGATGTATAAATTGTCGTTTAAGTGACACCAAAATGAAAATAACACTGGCGTCTCATTTTAACAGATATAATGGGTGCAATGGATAAATTGTCGTCTAATTGGCGCAAAAATGAAAATAACACTCTCATTTATAACAAAATCTTCAGACGTGTAAATGTAGGGTGCGATGGTTAAATTGTCGCCTAAATGAGGCAAAAATGAAAATAACATTGACATCTCATTTTAACATATATACAGCGTGCGATGGATAAATTGTCGTCTAAATTATCCATGGAAATAAGCAGGAGGAAAAAAATTACTCTTTAATATTTCAAGATATTTTTGTTTAATTTTGGTTAATATATCTGTTAAAATGAATTGTCAGTGTTATTTTCATTTTTACGTCATTTAGACGACAATTTAACCATCGCACCCTGTATATTGGAACTCTCTTTTTAGACTGGGTACAAAAAAAATATTAGCTATATTTGACCCACTATGTTTTAATAAGGAATGATGTAAAATTTTCATGTCAAATTTTATCCCATGGAATATAAATTACAAGAGTTGCTCCAGAAGTAATGCCTCCTGCTTATTTCCATGGATAATGCAGCAAGGAGCACAATAACACTGATGGATAGTGCAAATACCCAACTACAAAGTACTTTTTTTGCCAAAGTATTCCCCACCATTGGCTATACATTTTTGCCAGCGATGAGCAAGAAATTGTGATCTGTCATCTTTAAACTAGCCTATTCATTTGTTTTTACGATTTATTAACCTTTTACAGGTTATTTAAAGCCATAAAATATTTTTAGATTAAGACTTTTTTTTGTAGATAATGATTTGATAATACAAATCTTACTAATTAACCTACAGCTGGGGAGAAGAGGTAGATTCATACATTTTCAACACCTCATTTTGAAAGATATACAGGGTGCGATGGATAAATTGTCGTCTAAATGACGCAAAAAAAAAAAAAAAAAAATGAAAATAACGCTGACAACTCATTTTAACAGATATATTTACCAAAATTACACAAAAATATCTTCAAATATTAAAGAGTAAATTTATTCAATAAAATCACCATTGATTCAACCACGGCTTCCAAGCGATTTTTCTCTGACGATTGGACCAAACATTCTTGCTGTAACACTCACGTTTGTATATGTTTGTATTACTGTTTCTGTTAATATATTTGTTTAATTCAGTATCTCTCCTTGTATCTTTATTTCTGGTCCTAACAAAGCCACAACAGAAAGGTATGAATCCACCTCTTCTCCTCCAGCTATGGGTTAATTAGTAAACTTGTAGCACTAAACCATTATTATCTCATAAATAATATAAATTGTGTACAAGAAATATTTAAATTTGGGCATTAAATAACCCGTGGAGGTTGATATGCCGCTAAACAAAATCAACTAACCATGCAAAACAAAAAATAGGGCAACATTTGATCTAGTAGCATACTAATTTAATAAATTTTGCCGAATATATTTCAAGAACTTTTCTGGTTCTTTCTGTAACACCAGAGATTTCGGTTACTCTTAAAAATAAACATTTAGATTCATTTTTAAAGAAAGAACTGCTAATGCTAATCAACATATGATTTGGTCATATTCTCATGGAGTTCAGACTTAGTCAGGTGATTCTGAGAGAATTAGAATTCTTACCTGGATACATCATTGGCAGCCACAGTTTTAACAACATAAGACACGCAGATGAGATAGAAGTCATAGCAGACATAGAATGGAAATTACAAGAACTCCTACAGAAGGTAGTGAAGGAAAGTATGAAGAAAGGACTAAACATCAATTACAAGAAGACAGAATGCATGGTTGTCAGCGAAGGGAACAGCCCAACAAACAATTTACAAATTGGAGATACCAAAAACAAACAACTACAATTATTTAAACATCTAGGGAATGTTCTAACAGAGATCGGAAAGTGTGACACCGAAATCCGAAGGCGCATTGGGATAGCGAAAGATGCTTTCCAAAAGCTAAGCAAAGTATTAAGAAACAGGAAAATTTCATTAGAAACAGAGAAATTATTTTTTTGTTCAAGATAATTATTATCCGAACTATAATGTCATCAATATAGCACCACTCCCTTATCATCAAAACACTTGCCTCGGATGGAAAAGCATACAGAATGTACGTTAAAAAGAATACAATGACCCATATAATTTTTATATGCAATATATGTTCTACAATAATTTTTATATTCAAAGTTCCAGAAATATACAAGTTATGCAACTTAAAAAAGTGAAACCTTTATTCACTGAATTTTTTAATCCATTTATTTCTTTTAACAGTAAAAAAACATGACCCACGCAAGTTTACTATGAAATATTCAATTTTACCCATACTAAAAATTTCAAAATAAACAGTTTACACAATAATTTAAATGTAAAATATCTTTTTACACTCATACGAGGTCTGATAAAAACTATCCAGACTGATGGT